GCCAAGTGTGATTGGACACACAAGGAATTTGTCTTGGTGCAAATACTCTCAGTATACATAAAAGAAAGATACATTCATCAAGAGTCGGGAATCATAGGGTACAATAAGCAATCAAATCATACTAGGAAACAGTCAATAAAAATCGTAAAGACATAAGCAACACAATTACAGTCATACAGTCATAAGTGGGAGGAGATGGGTGAAAGGAAGGATGAGAGGAGTAAGAGTAAGAGTAATACAGACTTAGTAAATAGTTGGACAGTGTTGAGGGAATTATTTGTTTAGCAGAGTGATGGTGTTAGGGGAAAAAACTGTTCTTGTGTCCAGCTGTTCCAGTGTGCAGTGCTCTGTAGTGTCGTTTTGAGGGTACAATATCAAAGTCTTTGGCTTCAGGTATGTTATGGCACTGGAAAACTTCAAATCTGACTCACTTAAGGAATGTTCTCAATAGATTTTGTCTGCAATGAATGAAGATCCTATTGTTTTTCTATGCATTTCTTATTTGGAGGGCTACAAGTAGCCTAGATCGTCCAGAAATATAGGCTGATGTGCTCAAAAGGCATTTTGCTGTGAATTAATTACATTTCTTCCAAAGATGTTACACTTATTACTAATACACTACTGAGCCAAGTTGACAATATTGTTAATGTAGGGATAAGTCATATGGTACCCAAAATATACCTTTTGGTTGCCTTCTGGTTTTCTGGTCCATCTGACTTTTTTAAATAGACAGAAAGCTGAACTACTGCAGTATAAACCATTTTTCAATTTTTAACTTTTATTATAAGCTTCCCTGACTCACTGTATTAGTGAGATGGGCAACACCGAAATCCCATAAATAAGCAAATTAGCCTTCAGCATCTTACTTATTTGCAAGCATGATCTGAGGTCCCACAAAATCCCACCAGAATGATAGAAAGCATGTCTGAGTTGGAGGGTTAATTTATCATCTGGTACATGGATGTTTTGTGATTGGCCACCACAACCCTGGGCAATCATTTTGTGAACAAGCAGATCACACTTTGTAAGCTCCTCACATGTATCTAAAATTTTAAAGGAGCCTCCAGGTCAAAACTTTTGCTATCCCTTTGGCAAAGATCTATGCAGCATATGACTCGGATAGCTGATAGATTATCTCTCTTCTGAGCCCGCCTAGAAATTAAAAGCAAGACAAAAGGTTTTCTAGAAGGTGCTGCCCTTGCCAGATTTGCCATGTGATAACTCAAGTGAGAATATTTTTTTGATACAGGAGCCTGAATAATAGAATTCCCTCTTGGTTTATTACATCTGGCACCACCCCAAGGCTTGTTAGCTTTCTGTGTCAATTAATCACCTCCTTACTCACCCAGCCTTCAGCTACTTCATACTATTATTTAATTGTTGTCATTGTTGTTATGGTTCTCTTTTTTGGTTTTAACTCTTCCCAATCTTCTACTTTTTTAAGGATTTGCTTTGCACTACTATGTTCTGGATATTTTTTTTAAAGAGTAAACAACTTTGTGAATAAAATAAATGTACGCTCAATCAGTCTTAACAGACCAGAGGAGTGTGCAGGAATGATTGCAAATGGCAAATATCTGGACAAAGCTCCACCCCTTTTAATGTGCTTTGCATACCTGTCATGCACATAAAAGGGACAAAGCTTCACCAATCCAGTCAGACCCACCATTTTCATTTGCTGACTACATTTGCAGATATCCCTGGCTGATGCCACCTATAAAGCCAGAAAAACTTCTAGTGGCTCTCCAGGTCAAGTTATCCATTCAGATTAAACAGAGGCAATACTTCTCCCATTAGCAATGGGATCCTGTGAAGAAGGAAGGAGAGGCTTGCTATTTCAACACTGTCTGGGCAGTGTAAAAAAAAAATAGCAATAGACTTATATATAATGCTTCACAGTGCTTTATAGCCCTCGCTAAGCAGTTTACAGAGTCAGCATACTGGCCCCAACAATCTGGGTCCTCATTTTACTGACGTTGGAAGGACGGAAGGCTGAGTCAACCTTGAACCTCTCGGACCAAATTGCTGGCAGTCAGCAGAATTAGCCTGCAATACTGCATTCTAACCACTGTGTCACCACGGCTCAGCTAGTAAGAGTTGCCAACCTTCATACGGTGAGCTTATAAAGATATTACAAAATGGCCCCTCGGCCAGGTAAGGTGTGAACCAGAAAAAAAAAAGTCTAACTAATAGTGCAGGTTTATATGACACAACGTCTTCTAAATGCACCAAAGGAGAGCTTCTATTTGTGGATGCAACTTAACATTTCTGGAGAACTTATCAGAGAAGGTAAATTTACCCAGGATATTTTTGAGTTTGTGATCAGTATAGTTAAGATGTTCCTCTTTTGAACAGTTTCTAGGACAAGGGTCTTCAAACTTGGCAAGTTTAAAACTTGTGGACTTCAACACCCAGAATTCCTGAGCTAACATGACTGGAAGAGGAATTCTGGGAGTTCAAATCCACAAGTCTTAAATCTTTCAAGTTTGAAGACCCCCGGTTCCAGGGCTATAGGTTGATATCTGTTCTGGAATTGCAGGCAAGCTGTTCTTAGAATTATAATATGTGCCCCCCCCCCCTCTTAAGTTTTTCTGCCTTCTTCCTCCTGGACTGAGAGCCAGTTCCAGTGTCAAAGGCCAAGGACTTCTGGGTTCTGTTAGATGACGCACTCTACCTTCAATCACTAAATAGAAGCAACCATGAGGAAGTGTCATTTTTAGTTACTGAACATCTGTCAGATCCAGCAGTTCCTGCTAGTGAGGTTGCACATTTACCCATTCAGGTGCTGGTTGTCTCTTCCTACTACAGTACTCTATGGATAGAGAGCCTTCCTTTGTTTAGAGGCACTGTTCTTGATCTCCCACATTTTTCCCACACAGGGCTTTATGATGGCTCCCTATTAGACCAGAGATTACTTTAAATTCTTGGCGGTAGCATTTATAGCCTTCTATTAGGTTTTTTTTTCCATCCCTATACTCCAGATCTGTTCGTGATAGCATTTTGTTTTATATAACTCAGTTAACATTTCCTTTTTCACATGTTGCCTGTCTTCTTTGCATGCATTTCAAGATCTGAGCCCTCAATTTTTTTTCTTCCCTTCCCTTCCAACTCTACATATCCTCAGGTTTATTTAAGAATCTATTTGTTCAATAAAGCTGAGTGAAGAGTAGAAGTGGTTGTAAACCGATACCAACAATGCCAATAAGGTTGGCATTCTGAAAACAGTATTTGTAAAGTTTAAGCAAATGGAAACCAATGGTTAGGTTCACACATTATGTTAACCAAACTAAGACTCGAGGACTTCAACTACCATAATTCCTCAGCCAGCCATGCTATCTGGAGAATTCTGGGAGTCCACACGTCTTAAAGTTGCCAAGTTTGGAGACCTCTGTGTTAAGCCATAATAAAATTTAGCTCTAAGTTAGTGTGCTCTATGAAATGACCCACTGCGCTTTGCCTGTCTATGATTTAGTCTTACTCATAAACAGGTAGTCCTTGACTTACAACAGTTTGTTTAGTGACAGTTCTAAGTTACAACAGCACTGAAAAATGTGACTTATGACCATTTTTTCATCCTTATGACCATTACAGCATCCCCATGGTCGTATGATTTATATTCAGATGCTTGACAACTGGTTCATATTTATGATAGTTACAGTGCCCCGGGGTCATGTGATCATCTTTTGCAACTTTCTGACAAGCCAAGTCAATGGAAAAGCCAGATTCACTTAACAACCATGTCAGTAATTTAACAAGTGCAGTGATTCACTTAATAAACGTGACAAGAAAAGTTGTAAAATGGGGGCAAAACTCGCTTCAGAAATGTCTCGCTGAGCAACATAAATTCTGGGCTCAACTGTGGTTGTAAGTTGAGGACTACCTGTAGTCAGCATGACAATTTATTCAATACATCACACCTGGTTTGATATCAGCCGGTGGCTATGAGTATTCACAACAAATCACCAACCTTGTTCCCATCTGGCTTGTCCACAAGAAAGATTTCACTCCAAATCTGGATGCCAGTTGTCTCCCGTTCAGATCCACCTCTCCAAGAAAATCCTGTGAGTGGTTCATTAAAATCCCCAATCCAATCAACCAACTCCTGCAAAGGAATGGACAAGCAAGTTATTATCCTTAGAGCCATGGAAAACCATGTGTCTTTGTGCAAATAGCTTATTTCTAGTATTGGTGGTCACCCAACAGCTAACAACCAAACAATTGCTTGGTACCTGGACCTTTTCAGTAATTGTCTGTTTGAATGGGAAGTAAGATAACCCATTTCAATTGGGACAAAGCATTCTACTAGGGAAGAAATTAAATTTTATATTTCAAATAGGCAATAAAAAGGTTAATTGGAATTTTCAGATTCCCCCTCTGGGTGGTAATGTCAGGGAGTAATAGATTACAGAGGGAGTAAGATGTCAGATTACAGATTATCTCCATTTGTATGTGAAATGGTTGAAGAAATTCTCATTTATGAAATCACAGGTGCAAATCTACAAAACTGAGTCACGGGCAGGGATGGGATCCTACTGGTTCAGTCCAGTTTCATAGAACCGGTAGCTCCAAAGAGCAGCTGACATGGAACTGGTTTGCTGGGACGAGTTTTTGGTCTGCTGTTTCGCCCACCCAACCATCTGGGCTCTAGGCTGTCTCTTAGTGGCTACATTTTTCTCCTCAGCTGCTTAGTGCAGCACAGCTGAGTGCCGCTCGTCAGCTGGAGAAGGTAAATGCTTGCCGGAGATGGTGGTGCGCACACGTGTTTGATGCACATGCGTGCGCTTCCTGAACCAGTTGTTATGCTGGTTGGATCCCACCCCGGTCAAAGGATACACTTAGGCATATTTTTGTTCTCCCAGTCTTAATGTACCAAACACTTTTGGGTAAACTTACAAATAGCCATACATAGCTGTGCTGTATCCTGAACCCTGTATGCTGTAGTTGCACAACATGTGAAATCCCAACATGAAGTTTTCTACCAGTTTGGATGGATTCTGGCAGACAAATCCCACTTCCTACCCGCAACCACACATCTTGTCCCTTGTGACATTCTCACTATTCAAGTGTCAAATCAAGTATTCAAGGGCACTTTGCTTAATTACATCTGCTTATAATTGCACCACATATATTGCAATCTGCAAGCTTGCTCATGTACTAAGCTCCTGAGCAGGAAGAATGAGGCCACAAACTCTACAGCAGCCAGTGCAAACCTACCATGTTGTGCATGTATCTCAGCATGAAGTCCATCAAGAATGATTTTCCCTTCCGAAAAGCCCCGGCCACGGACACAGCCACCACCTCCCGATCACAGACAGCTTTGGAGAGCAAGATGCGGTTGAGAGCAGCTTCGTCCAGCTCAAAGGAGTGGTCATCCTTCACAATGAGCACTTGTACTGGGTGGGCCTTCCCACCAGACTCTTCCTCTTCTGAACTCCATTCATAGCTTTTTTCCGAAAACCCACCTGTATGATCAAGTCCCAATGAGGTTATACAGAGGCTTAGGCCAGGGGTGTCAAACTCAAGGCCCGCGGGCTGCATCTGTCCCATGAGGTGCTTAGACCAGGCCTGCGGGATTGCCCTGGAAATAGCAAAGGACCGGCCCGCAGTGCCTCTGCCAGTGAAAATGGAGCTTTGTTTTTGCTAGCAAAGAACTGCGGGAGGCCATCGTGGCTGAAAACAGAGCCTGGGCTCCATTTTCAACTGCAATGGCTTTCTGCAGCCCTCTATCAACAAAAGCAAAGCTCCATTTTCACTGGCAGAGGGCTGCAGGAGAATCCCCCCAGCCCCTCTTGGGCCACCACAGGTGCCCCTGACACAAGTGATGTTGAGCTGGCCATGGCCATGCCCACCCCAGACATGTCCTCCCAGCCCCCTAAGGTCAAACACAACCCCGATGCAGCCCTCAATGAAATCGAGTTTGACACTCCTGGCTTAGGCTAACATTTTACATTGACTAACCAAGGATAGGTTCGTACATATCAAGCCACAAGAACATTGGGGACCAGAAGGGAGAAAGGATACAACAGAGGGAAAGAAAAGATGCTTAGCCACTCTAATATTCTTTCCTCCAGACAGGTTTAAAGCCTTCCTAATAATTGGCTGCCTCAAGGGAAAGAGAAAATTCCCTCTGACAATTACAGAAATAGACTAGCAGCTGAATTTTACTTTATTTATGAAACATATTATATTACTGTCTAATAATACCTCTTGCTAGTTTTCAGTTACATTAATCATATTCTCTGCTTATACCCAAATATATTAGTGTAGTTTAAAAGTTAGAAGAATGCTCAGAACTTTGTGTGCCAATATTTCACTTTCATTGTCTACCTGGCTTCTGCCACTGCTATAGGCATCGCACTCTGCATCCCTAAAAGAGACCTTGGGATCTCAATTTTTTTGTTTCAGATGCAGGAAAGAAGCCATTTAAATGGCCTGAGAGCAATGGCTATAGGGAAATCTGGCAGCTAAGTGAAGATGCAGGCACCCTCTTCCACTTCTTGATTCTCTCCAAAAAAAATCCACTGCCCCGCATTTGTTTCAAAAGGCAAACGAAGTTCATAATATAACACCACCTCCTCAGGTTTGCTCAGAAAGATTGCCTATACATTGGCAAGTCAGATACATCAAATAAAGAAGCATCATTGCCCTGACTGGGGAATCATGCCAACCAAACAAGAGACTATCAAATGTTACCAGACAAGGAAAATAGGCAAACGCAGCCCAACTGTTTACATTGAAATAATATATCCCAGGCAAATACAGTAGATAAAAGGATAAAAAAAGCTCAACACTAGGATATTGTAGGGACAAGACATATACATGCAGCTATATTAATACATGATTACTGTGTAATGAAAAACTGTCTAAACACTGAATAGTTATCTTCCCATGTTCCAAGAGACATAGTGGCTCAGTGGCTTAATGATGCTGGAGATGGTCTCTGCTCTGGCGGTTTGAGCCTGTTGGGGTGAACTCCTGCTACTAGCTTCAGCTTCTGTCCAAGTAACAATTCAAGAGCATGTTCTATGCAAGTAGATAAATAGGCACCACTTTGGTGGGGAAATGAGTTGGCACTCCATGCAGGCAGTCAAATTTCTGTCATCTGAACCTTCCTGGCTACGGTGCTCATTTGCAAGGAGGCTCTGGGAAGGGAGAGGCCTTGGATGACACTGCAGGAAGAGCTGCTCATTTTTCTTTCTAATGTGAAGTCAACTCATCCACCTGTGGCACATCTTGGGAAGTGTGACAGTGTTTCCTACGACAGACCCTTGGCAGGTTCAGGTACCTTGGCAGCCAAACTACTACTCTGCAATAGCATTGTGGTCTGTTGGCCAATGTAACAATGCCATACGCTGCTGCTGCTGCTGCTGCTGCTGATGATGATGATGATGATGATGATGATGATGATAATAATAATAATAATGCCATCAGTCAATTGCAGAAGGCAGCTTTACTTGGAACAGGTTCCAGCTTCCTTCCTGCGGCAATATCTGTAACACTATCAAACATCCAGATTTGCCTATAGGTAGATAAAAATGCCAAACCCAGTCTGAACATCTGGCTGACTGTACGATGAATAATAATAATAATAATAATGTTATTATAATTATTATTATCATTCACATGTTCCAATTGTTGGCCAATGCAGTTGCCTCTAACCACAGCAAGGCTATTCTGAACATGCATGCAGAACTTGAAGTTTTCACCCATAAGACTCTATAGGAAAATACATTTCCATACCATCCTAGTTCTGGAATACCATTGGTATTATACTGTAGAATTGTGCTTGGGCTGCCCACTTACTATAAATATTTTTCAGCCCCATACAAAATGGATCTAATTATACTAGCAGATATTTTCTAGATAGAGATCTTTCACATTACCTGCTCGCTGAACCTCCAAATATCGAAGAAAAAAAACCCTGGAGATTTTTGAGATTTAAACCTTTCTGCAAAAACATGTTCTGTTATTTAGCTACACCCTTCTGTAGTAATCATTCATTCCAATTACAAACTCACTCTCAATGATCAGTGAATTTTTGCTGTTGTTGTTCAGATACTAAGCTGTGTCTGACACCCTGCGACCCCATAGGCTAGGGTTTCCTGTCCTCCACTGTCTCTCAGAGTTTCCCCAAATTCAGTGAATTGGGCAGTGCTTTAAATTTCTTTCTCTAACGTAGGCAACAGGATGCTTCTGTTTCCTGATGTGGATGTGCAGTGATGACAAAACTATAGTTGGAATCAAATTATTTGTAATTGTCTAAGGAAAAAAATGAAATACAGGTAGCCCTGGACATATGACCATATTGGACCCTGCCAATTATAATAGTAAGACCTCACAGTCATAAAGCAAGTCATCATGTGAACAATCCAATTTACAACCTTTCTTTTGCTGTGGTCATTAAGCAAATCCATTGTTTGCTATGGGGCATTTTTGCTGACAACCAGAATAAAATGCTGATTTTTAGCAAATACATTGTAAATCAAAGTCATATGACTGTGGGATGCTACAAACATCCATACATGTGGGTCATTTGCCAAATGTGCAACATGCCAGAGGGGGTGGGGGGCAGCTGCAGAAATTTCAGAATTGGGTCATAAGTACCTTTTGGAGGGACCATCCATAAGTTGAGGGCTATTTGTAGGATGTATTGGATAACCCTATATCCATTTTTCCTGGGCACACTCTGGATTTTCCATTGCTCTGTCAACATCTTATTGTTACTTTTACTATTATATTAACATCAGGTTGCTTAAATTAAAAGATCACTGGGAATCATTTGCCTTAAAAAGCCTGTCTTCTCACAAGTACAATGGTATCTGAACTTCATCCACCACCATTCAGAATCCTTGGGATTTTTCAGGCCCTGGTACTTCTCTAGCTTCTGTTTCAACTGTTTCAACTCCTACCCTCAAAACGATGCTATAGAGCACTGCACACCAGAACAACTAGACACAAGGGCAGTTTTTCCCCCAAACGCCATCAATCTGCTAACAAATAATTCCCTCAACACTGTCCAACTGTTTACGACGTCTGCATTACTATTACTATTAATCCTCTCATCCGTCCTTTCACCCATCTCCTCCCACTTATGATTGTATGACTGTAACCTTGTTGCTTGTATCCTAACAATTTTTATTGACTGTTTCCTAGTATGATTTAGTTGCTTATTGTACCCTATGACTATTATTAAGTGTTGTACCTAATGCTTCTTGACTCTTGATGAATGCATCTTTTCTTTTATGTACACTGAGAGCATATGCACCAAGACAACTTCCTTGTGTGTCCAATCTAAACGCCGTGGCAGCAAGGGAGAAGGGAAAGCAACGGTGGCGGAAGGTCTCCCGATACGAAGTGCCCCACCAATGCCGAGGTCAACATTCAAGCCATCGCTGCCCGCCCACCCGAGGATGCAATGGGGGGAATTAAGTCACTCCCGAAAAGACGGCCTAGCCGTTTTTTCGGGGGTCAAAAAAAAATAAGGCCCAGCCTTATTTTGTAAGAAACACGGTAGTACCATAACCTGGAAATCATATGACAATAAACCTCCTTTATCTGAGGAAAATGGAGCCCTGTGGTTGGAAACAAAGCACTGGACTGAAGAGGTTTTTATAGGTAGTCCTTGACTTACAACAGCTGGTTCAGTGACCATTCAAAATTACAATGGTACTGAAAAAAGTGATTTATGACCATTTTTCACACTTATGACTGCATCTCCATGGTCACATGATCAAAATTCAGACGCTTGGCAGCTGACTCATATTTATGATGATTGCAGTGTGGCTGGGTCACGTGATCAACTTTTGTGACCTTCTAACAAGGAAAGTCAATGGAGAAGCCAGATCCATTTAATAATCTTGTTACTAACTTAAAATTAGCAGTGATTCACTTAACAACTGTGGCAAGCAAGGTCGTAAAACAGGTCAAAACTCATTTAACAAAGGTCTCATCTAACAACAGAAATATTGGGGCTCAGTTGTGGTTGCAAGTCGAGGGCTCTCTGTATTCATGCTGTCCACCAAGGCAGCTCTTACATATCTCAATATTATACTGCATTGTTACCTACAGAATATCATAGCACGCTTGCAATTTTTTTTGAGCTATGCAGAATTTGTGTTATTTAACTTCTATTTCCACCCCCCACCCCCACCCCCCCAATCTCTGGTTTAAGTGCAAAGCAAGCAGATCCTTCTCCCTTCACAGCTGCATGTTTAAGGGAGGGGAAGCAGAAGGAGGAATAAGAACTATGGGAAGAATTCTGTTAATCTTGACAACTGTTTCAAAGGTATTAACACTGGATGCCTGGCTAGAAAGACTTTCTTAGTGTTACAGCTGCTAGTATGCGATGTAAAAAGAATCCAAGGGGGCAGGATGGGGGAAAAAGGCACAATGAGTTCCCCTTCCCCAAATACTTTACTTTCATTTTTCTTCTTCTTAGTTTGTAAAAAAAGAACCATTTCCT